TGTTATAACATTATAACATACTACTCACCTCCTCATTTATATCATGCCACACATGACCATAATCATTTGGTGGCCTATAGCAACTTTACTTCAAATAATGTCTACTGCCCCTTGCTCTTTCTTATCTCTGCCCAAGCCAATTCCACATTTTGTCCTTCTAACTTTAGATCCTGCCTTACTCGACCTTCCAAGTCTTCCCTAACATCGACTAGCCTTAAATGTTCAATTCCCAGTTCTGGTCACCATGCAGCCATTTTCTTTAATGGCAATTAGATCATACCCATTTACCTCTACTTGTGCCTTAGATCATCAACTTTGTTGCAAATTGCTGCATGCATTCAGGTAGAATGCCTTTAACTGGCCTGTGACACTGTGTGCGTTCAAGTATTTTTGAAGCTCTTCGGCTTCTCCTGTCATCCAATCTCCCTAGCAACTTGTACAGTTCATTTCAATTTGGGTTAGCTCTTAGGTTTGCATGCTGCTGAGAAGCTAGTTGAAATCGACAAACAAATCTCCCTACAAGAAGCCCCAGTCCTTTTAAGGTATAACCTACTCAGCTGGTACTGCTCCCATCAGCCCCAGAAAACTGATGCCATCAATCCTCCACCAGTTTTCCACTCACATGGTCAGTCAAAAACCTTCTGTTCAAATCTCACTAGCCACAAGGCAGAGTAATTTTGAAATCACTGCTCTGGAGGTTCAACTTCTTAAATTTCCTTCCTAAATCCCCAAAATCTGCTGTCAAGACCTCAGATAACAAGGTGTAGAGCTGGATGAACACAGCAGGCCAAGCAGCATCAGAGGAGCAGGAAACCTGACGTTTCGGGTCTAGGCCCTTCTCCAGCATCAGCAGTTCCTACTATCTGTCAAGACCTCATCCTCCTTTTATTCACAGTTACTGACATTAAATTCTATGACACTTTGTTGCCCTTTACACTATCTCTATCAATACTCCTTCATAGTTTCCCCAGTTCAATTATTCACTGTACCATCTGCTTTAAATATCATCTGAAAATTTGGATACTGCACCTTGAAACTCTCAAATGAATCATTAATGCGTATACTGGGCGGGAACTGTTGGAAACTACTTCCCAAAAAAATCTCAAAACATTTTACTGGATGATGTAGTGCAGCTGAACACATGGCTACAAAGCTGGAGGAGGAGGAGGGCTTCAGATACATGGATCAAGACACCTTCTGGGCAATGTGGGACCTGTACAAGAGGGACTGGTTGCACCTGACCTGGAGGGGTACCAATATCCTGGGCGGGAGGTTTGCTCGAGCTCTTCAGGAGGGTTTAAACTAGTTTGGCAGGGTGTTGGGAACCAGAGCTACGGATCAGAGGATGGGGTAGCCGGTGTACAGGCAGATACAGCATGCAGGGTGTCTGTGAGGAAGGATCGACAGTTGATAGCGCAAAGCTGTTGTCAGTGCAACAGGTTGTGTGTGTCTATTTTAAACGCAAGTAGTGTCGGGAATAAGGGTGACGAACTTAGATCATGGATCAGTTCTTGGAGCTACGATGCTGTGGCCATTACGGAGACTTGGACAACACAGGGACAGGAATGGTTGTTGGAGGTTCCGGGATTTAGATGTTTCAAAAGGAATAGGGAGGGAGGCAAGAGAGGTGGGGGAGTAGCATTGCTAATCAGGGATGGTATCACAGCTGCAGAAAGGGAGGTCGTGGAGGAGGGTTTGTCCACTGAGTCAGTATGGGTGGAAGTCAGAAACAGGAAAGGAGCAGTCACTTTATTGGGAGCTTTCTATAGACCCGCCCCCAACCAATAGCAGAGACAGATTGGAAGGCAGATTTTGGAAAGGTGCAGAAGTAATAGGGTTGTTGTCAGGGGCGCCTTCAACTTCCCTAATATAGACTGGAACCTCCTAAGTGCAAATAGTTTGGATGGAGCAGATTTTGTGAAGTGTGTCCGGGAAGGATTTCTGACTCAATATGTAGATAGGCCGACTAGAGGGGAGGCCATATTGAATTTGGTGCTTGGCAACGAACCAGGCCGGGTGTCAGATCTCTCGGTGGGAGAGCATTTCGGTGATAGTGATCACAACTCCCTGACCTTTACTATAGTCATGGAGAGGGATAGGAGCAGACGGTATGGGGAAGTATTTAATTGGGGGAGGGGGAATTACAATGCTATTAGGCAAGAACTGCAGAGGATAAATTGGGAACAGATGTTCACAAGGAAATGTACAAAAATGTGGAGGTTGTTTAGGGAGCACTTGCTACGAGTGCTGGATAGGCTTGTCCCACTGAGGCAAGGAAGGGACTGTAAGGCGAAGGAACCTTGGATGACAAGATATGTGGAACATCTGGTCAAGAGGAAGAAGGAAGTTTACTTAAGGTTGAGGAAGCAAGGATGAGACAGGGCTCTGGAGGGTTACAAGGTAGCCAGGAAGGAACGGAAGAATGGACTTAGGAGAGCTAGAAGAGGGTATGAAAAAGTCTTGGTGGGAAGGATTAAGGAAAACCACACGGCATTCTATGTTTATGTGAGGAACAAGGAGGATGGCCAGAGTGAGGGTAGGGCCAGAGATAGTGGAGAGAACTTGTGTGTGGAGTCAGTGGAGGTAGGGGAGGTCCTTAATGAATGCTTTGCTTCAGTATTCACCAGTGAGAGGGGCCTTTGTAGTTTGAGGACAGCATGAAACAGGCTGATATGCGGAAGGATGTGCCAGAAATTTTGAAAAACATGAGGATAGAGGAGTTCCATGGGCCAGATGGGAGATACCCAAGGTTTTAAGAAACTTGATGCGATCTCAACAGATCTACCAGTGAGAAAAAATTTGGGAGGCCCCCGAGAAGTAAAGAACTTCTACTCTCTGCAATAAAAAAACTTTACAACTCACAGGCCCATCTGCATTCTTCCAAATTTCATAGAACATAGAACAGTACAGCACAGTACAGGCCCTTCAGCCCACGATGTTGTGCTGACCTATTATCCTATTCGGAGATCAAAGTACCCTGCATACCCTACATTTTACTAGCTTCCGTGTGCCTATCCAAGAGTAGCTAAAATGTCCCAAACGGATACCAAAACTGGCTGTCCAATAGAAGACAGAGGGTGGTAGTAGATGGAAAGTATTCAGCCTGGAGCTGTGACCAGTGGTGTGTCGCGGGGATCTATTCTGGGACCTCTGCTCTGTGATCTTTATAAATGACTTGGATGAGGAAGTGGAAGGTGGGTTAGTAAGTTTGCCGATGACACGAATGTTGGTGGAGTTGTGGACAGCGTGGAGGGCTGCTGTAGGTTGCAACGGGACATTGAAAGGAAGCAGAGCTGGGCAAAGAAGTGGCAGATGGAATTCAACCCAGAAAAGTGTGAAGTGATTCATTTTGGAAGGTCGAATTTGAATGCAGAATACAGGGTTAATGGCAGGACTCTTGGCAGTGTGGAGGAACAGAGGGATCTTGGGGTCCACATCCATAGATCCCTCAAAGTTGCTACCCAAGTTGATAGGGTCGTAAAGAAGGCGTATGGTGTGTTGGCTTTCATTGGCAGGGGAATTGAGTTTCAGAGCCATGAGGTTATGCTGCAGCTCTATAAAACTCTGGTTAGACCCACACTTGGAATGTTGTGTTCAGTTCTGGTCACCTCATTACAGGAAAGATGTCGAAGCTTTAGAGAGGGTGCAGAGGAGATTTACCTGGACGGCAGGTCTTATGAGGAAAGGTTGAGGGAACTAGAGGTTTTTTCATTGGAACGAAGAAGGATGAGAGGTGATTTGATAGAGGTGTACAAGATGATGAGAGGCACAGATAGAGTGGATAGTCCGATACTTTTCCCCAAGGTGAAAATGACTATTACGAGGGGTTATAATTTTAAGATGATTGGAGGAAGGTATAGGTGAGAGGTCAGAGGTAGGTTCTTCACACAGTGGTAGGCGTGTGGAATGCACTGCTGGCAGTGGTAGTGGAGTCAGATACTTTAGGGACATTTAAGTGACTCTTGGATAGGCACATGGAGGATAGTAAAATGTAGGGTATGCAGGGTAGTTTGATCTCAGAGTAGGATAAGAGGTCGGCACAACATTGTGGGCCAAACAGCCTGTATTATGCTATGTGCTATGTGCTATGTGCTATGTCTGACTCCACTACCACTGCCAGCAGCACATTCCACGCAGCCACCATTTAGTAAAAACTTTAATGTAAAGAAGAGGTTAACAAACTTCCTTTGCATACAGGTTCCAATTGCAACAGTCTTCAACCACTCAATATTGGCAAATTACATCAGATACTTGTGATTAATTCAAGGTTTTAAAGATTTTTTCCCCTCAAGAATCCAGCCCTCACGTATAATAAAGATATGGAAAAATGTAAACAAACTTAGCTTGTTTGAGTAGCAACATAGATCAAGGTCTAAAATGGTCTGCTCTGATTCTCTCTCATGGAGTCATAGAACCAAAATAACTGCGGCTGCTGTAAATCAGAAGCAAAAGCAGAAATTGCTGGAAAAGCTCAGCAGGCCTGACAGCATCTGTGGAGTAAAATCAGAGTTAACATGTTGGGTCCAGTGACCGTTCCTCAGAACCTTCCATCAGACCTGTTAAGCTTTTCCAAGAATTTCTGTTTTTGCTCATGGAGTCAGATGCCTATAACTCAAAAATGCTTCTAACAATAACTCAGGTGATATGCAGAAGCTAGTTTTTCATTCCAATATTATCCTCAATAAATTTCTATCTTTATATTTCTGTGCACTTCAAATGTATATACCATATCACAACTACTGGTGGGAGGTGGCATTACAATGCAAGCATGTAGATTGATCCCAGTATAACGTGGCTTAAGAATTAAATGCAAGGAAAACCAGTCTATGGCATCCTCCATCCTTTGGGCATACATCTCATGAAAGTTATTTCTGGTCTTGATTTCCTATGTGCTACAGCTTAGCTGATGACTGGTATGTACATCCAGGTACATCCCTTCAAAACAAAAAGGCTGACTCTCAATCCACATCCAAGAGCATTTGACTTACTGCTTCCCTTCATTAGGCATCAAGATCTCACCTGTCACCTGGTTTGAATTCTCGGGAAGGTTTGTTCTTTTTCTTCTTGTGTTTCTTCTTCAAGTTTTTTATAGAAAGTGGTATACTCTTTTTACGCCCGTGTCCACCACTTTGTGATGATGCAGTCGAACTTGCAGAAGAAGAAATGGAGCTGGTTTCATCAGTATCTTCAGCACCTTCATCATCTGCATCCTGGTCTGCCAGCTGTGGCTTCAGAGTCTGTCTACTTTCTAGTAAGTCTTCGCCTAGTATCACTGGAGACTGGCTCATTTCCTTCCAGTTTCCCTCTTTTACTCTTTGCTCCAACTGATTCCGAGCATCATTAGTGAAGGTGGGACCATTGCTCAGAACAGATTCCTTCTCTACAGTCCCATTTACAGACTGGGATTTCAGTCCTATGGCAAGTCGAGGCGTGCCCTCCCAACCTAAATTCGATTTAGAGCTACTGATTCCAAAAACATTTGAGGTGACCATGACAGATCCATCATCCAAGGCAACTGCAAACTTGTCAGAATGATCCATTTCACGGGTATCCAAATTATTCAAGATGTTTTTCACCATCTCCTTGTCAAAGAGGCGTTTAACCTAATAAAATGACAGAAGGATAAGCTACATCAGGTGCAATCACACAGCTGCCCAAATGCATACAAAGTACAGAACATTGACAAGTTAATTTCTGAATAAAGTTCCAAACTCAGCCACAAACATTCCTACAATAGTTCCAGATAATTCCATGTATTATTTAAAATTAAAAATAAACTTAACTTATTCTTGAGGCAACACACTTAAACAAGGCAAATCAGTTTAAATCTGCAAAAGTGTCTTTCTAACTGACTTTGTAATTTCTGGACATCCAAATAAGTCAAGACAGAATTACACACATTATAACACATTTACAGCACCAATTGCTCTTTAGCTCAAATGGTTCATGTCTGTGTGAATGCTCCATAAACGTCACCTCTCACCTCACCCTAACAATATAATCAAACACTTTCTTGGTCATGTTTATCTAATTTTTGCCAAATATGTATGTGCTGTTTATCTCACCTACTGTGTGTAACTGGCTATCACATTCTCACCATTCCCTGCATGACTAACTTACACAAGGCCCCAATCCAATCTCTTTTGCAAATGGAAGGATCATCACTACGTCTATCTTGGAGAATCTCTTCACAATTTGCCTCAATCAGAACACCCTGCTCTTCGATAAAAGTATTGCAAGTTTATTCAATCTTTCATGACAACCATATCCATTCAAATATAACAAATTTTTCTCATACTGAATTCTACTTCTTCAGAAGAGAGCCCTATTGTTTTGTCTGCATTCCTTCATAATGGTTTTCTTACACTATTGCTACATTTAGTGATTTACATTAGCCGTACACCCATATCCCCCTTTGAAACTTATCCAGGAGTGCAAGGCCTTTTTATTCTACCTATCAAAACACTCCACCTCCTCACATATTTTAAACTCCATTCATCAAATATACAAGAGTTACTATGCTCTCCTTAAAGGAGTAGTCACTCTTGATTAGTTACCTGCCTTAGGCACAGTATCTCCATACTGAAGTTACCTTTCTGACAACAGAATTCACAGCAATGATGGAATTTCCTTCTGGACCCTCCGAAGAAATAGCCGTAGATTCAGGATCTCCCGGGAGCACATAAACAGCCCGTTCTGCCAGGACCATGCGAGCATGGTCATAACAGTTCAAGCGTTTCACCCTAGAGAAAGGAAAAATACAATGGGTACATCATCTGCTACAGTCCATGTCAAAATACAAATGGAATTTAGAGGAACCATGGGACAGTCACTGTCCACTCACCCACAGATAATGCCCAGAATCAGTCATAAGTATAAAATGGGTATAATCTCCGATATACTGATATTAAAGTACAACTTCACTAGTCAAAAATTTTCAATGAATTTGTTAACGTAATGGCCAAATCCCACATTATTTTTCAATGTATCTGCAATTTAGGTTTGATTAGTGTAACAAGGGTGTCTTGTGGTGGAATACAGTGAACATGTATTCCATATCACTGACGCAAAATACTGTGGATTCCAGAAATCTCAAATTGAAACAGAAAATGCTGGAAACACTCAGCATAACAGCATTATCTATGAAGAAAAACAAAGTTAATGCTTGACTTCAATGAACCTTCAAATTATCTAGTTCACCACTCTACTGGCAAAGTATTAAAATAAGAACAAACCTTCAGCCAAATTATTAGATCTGTTACAGATTCTGCAAAATCTATTTTTATTTCATTAGCACAAGACTAATGATCATTTTCCTGAAGAACTGAATTTCTAGTTTGACAATCAGAACAAAAGGAACTAACAGCATACTGAAGCTGCTACCCCATTCAGTATGTCACGACTGAACTTCTACATCGGCTTCACTTATTTGCTGCTCAATCCATTGATTCTTCAAGTACTCAAAAGTTTATAAATCTCAATCTTAAATGTACTCATTGAGATCCACAATCCTGGAGGTACAAAGTTCCAAAGATTCACAACATAGAAACAGGAGTTAGGAGCACCTGTTGTCATTCATTGACATTATAGTTTATCTGCAATCAATTCATACACCTTTGATACAAATCCCTTAATACCATTTATTAACAAAAGTCTTTCAAGTAAAAATTAACTGATCTCTACAACAATCCTGCTACAGTATCAACCACTGCACTCCCGACCAGAACTGAGCACAATACTCCAGTGTGATATCACAAAGGCCCTGAATAACTGCAGTAAGACATCCCTATTTTTGAAGTCAAATCCTCTTGCAATGAAGGCCAATATATACTTCGCCTGCCTAATTGCTTGCTGCATCTACCTACTTACTTTCATTGACTGGCGTACAAGAATATCCCTTTGTACATCCACATTGCCCAATATATCACGATTTAAGTACTATTCTTCCTTTGTTTTTCACACCAAAGTGTACAGCCTCACATTTAGCCACATTGCACTGCATCTGTCATGTCTTTGTCCACATACTCAACTTGCCTAGGATATCCTGAAGCCTGCTAGCATCCTCAACTCTCAACCCCACTTTGTTGTGTCATTAGAAGCTTCCAAAAAAAAAAAGACTGCTTTTTATTTCCAATTTATACACAAAAATTGAGATTAGCTGGGGCCCCAAGCACTCATCATCTGCCACGTGGAAAAAGATCCACTTAAAGTTTTTGAGAAGACTTGTATCTCGGGTTGTGGATGAGATTGTAGACTTGCTCGCAGAGCCGGTGTGTTTGATTGCAGACATTTCATCACCAATCGAATTTGTGTCTCTTGGTGGCTAGTTGGTGACACAACCAATTCTCACTGGTGTCAATACACACGGACAAAGGACACAAATTCAACTGAGACAACACATCCATAATAGCACAAGTCAAACAGAGACATGCCAGGGAAATCCTGGAGGCCTGGCATTCCAAACAGAACTCCATCAAACACATTAAACTGGACTCTATAAACAAACCGCTAAAGAACAGAACTGGAAGTTAATACCAACCACCCCAGCAAACCGAGGAATATAACTAACAAGCGGAACAGAACACCGTTTCACCAGAGGCACACTGACCATGTTACCGAGCATGATGAAACGTCTGCAATCAAACACACCGGCTCGGTGAGTATGTCTACAACCTCAAAAGACCCACTTCTTCTCACTGTTTCTAGTTTGCCAACCAATTCTCAATCCATGTCAGTATATTTCCCATTCCCAAATGCTTTGATTTTGCCCACCAGCCTTTTATGTGGGTCCTTATCAAAAGCCTTCTTGAAATCCAAATACACATCCACTGATTCCCATTTATTTATTTTTCCAGTTACATCCTCAAAAAATTCCAATAGATTAGCTAAGCATGACTTTCCTTTCGTAAACTCATACTGACTTTGTTTAATTCAGTTAATGTTTTCCAAGGTTCTGTTATCACATCTTTTATAGCCCCTACAGGATTTTAACCTAAACAAAAATCAAGACACTGCAGGAAAGTAAAATCACCAAAATCTTGTCCCACGTATAAACCCACAAAATGCAGCAAGGAACAATTACTGTTAGCTGTGCATTTGATTTGAATGCGAGAATAAAGTATTCAATTTTCTGCAAGAAAATAGGTTAACAGAATGAAATAGAGTGAAATCCCTCCCCACTAACAGATTGAAAGAACGTCAAGTTCACCAAGACATGAAAGAGATCAAAATCTCAAATACTTGCATATTTCAATTTTAAAACTGACTTTGCTAGACTAAAACATGGTTACCAATCACCTGATGTGAGCTCACTACATTTTCAGGGAAGTTCCGGCAGTAATTATAAAAGAACAAAAAAAAAACTTAAACCACTATTCTCTTGGAATGTCACATCCTTGCATTGTGTTGACCTAGTGGTCCATTATCACAAACAGCAACAGATATCTCTCAGCAGTGATGGGGAACAAAAGTAGCTCTGAAAAAAAAAAAAAAAAATGCTGGGAGAAACTCAGATCAGTAAAGCTCTTAATTTTTAAAAACAATATTTCTTACCGGTTTATTCTTGTGCTCTATTTTCTAGTCAGTAAAGAAATTTAACTCTCACCATACCTGGGCAAATTGTCTTGTGTGATAACTGGAGATGGAGGATAAACACTCTCACTTCCACCAAGGCAAAAGCTCTTTGTTATCCAGGAAACTCTAAGCTCCACCACTTGTACCTAGAATATAAAGCATACCAGGCCCCTTGGACTAAGTGAGGCACATTTCTTAACTTGCAAACAAAGAAATAAAGGCAGTTAAATCCCCAAGGCCTGATCAAGTGTATCCCATGTCATTGTGGGAAGCTAGGGAAGAAATTGCGGAGCTCTTAAGAGATACCTGTATCATTGACAGCCATGGATGAGGTGCCAGAAGACTGGAGGGTGGAGACTGGTGTGCCATTATTTAAGAAAGGCTGCAGGGAAACACCAGTGACCCTAACATCAATGGTGGGTAAGTTGTTGGAGGGGATTCTGAGAGACAAGGTTCTATGTGCATTTGCAAAGGCAAGGATCGACTAGGGATAGTCAGCATGGCTTTGTGCATGGGAAATGGGGTCTCACAAATTTGATTGATTTTTGTTTGAAGAGGTGGCCAAGCTGATAAACAAGGACAGTGTGACAGATGTTGTATACATGGACTTTAGCAAGGCCTTCAACAAGCACGGTAGACTGGACCAATGGGTTACAAAATTGGCTTGACAGTAGGAGACTCGGTGTTGGTAGAGGGTTGTTTTTCTGACTGGAGGCCCATGACCAGTAATGTTCTACAAAGATCCATGTTGGATCCACTGTTGTTCACCATTTATATAAATGATTTGGATGAGAATATAGAAGACACGGTTAATAAATTTGCCAAAGACACCAAAATTGGTGACATAGTGGACAGTGAAGGTCATCTAAGAGTAGAACAGGATCTTGATCAACTGGGCCAACGAATAGCTGATGGAGTCCAATTCAGATAAATGCAAAGTGTGGCATTTGCGAAATATAAACCAGGGCAGGACGCACATAGTTAAATGTTAATTCCCTGGGGAGTGTCGGCAAACAGAGATCTAGGGGTGCAGGTTCATAGCTCCTTGAAAGTGGCGTCACAGGTATACAGGGCAGTGAAGATAATGTTTGGCACACTTGCCTTCAAGTTTAAGAGTTGAGACTTCAAGTTACAGCTGTACAAGATATTGCTAAGGCCATATCTGGAGTACTGTACACAGTTCTTGTCATCCTGCTATAGAAAGGATATTACTGAACTGGAAAGATGAAAAAAATTTACAAAGGATGTTACTGAGATGATAAAATTTAAGTTATAAGGATAGGCTGGGACGTTTTCCCCCTGGAGCACAGGAAGCTAAGGGGTGGCCTTAGAGGTTTAAAATCATGAGGAGAATAGATAACACAAATAGCCAAGGTCTTTTCCCCAAGGTAGGGAAGTCCAAAACTAGAGGACATGGGGTTAAGGAGGCGGGTGGGGGATTTAAAAAAAAAGACCCGAGGGACAACTTTTTCTCCAGACGGTGGTGCATATATGGAAGAAGCTGCCAGAGGGAGCGGTAGAGGCAAGTACAATTATGACATTTAAAAGATATTTGGACAGGAACGTAGATAGGAAAGGTTGAAGGAGACGTGGGCTAAACACAGGCAAATGGGACTAATTCACTTTAGGAAGCCTGGTCAGCATGGACAAGTTGGGCCAAAGGGCCTGCTTCCATGCTGTTTAACTCTACAACTCTATAAGTAGAGGCATAAATATAACGATAGAAATTAGTAAAATTTAAATGGACATTCTGGAGAAACTTTATTGGAGAATGGCAAGATTGAAAATCTCTTCTGAAGTGGTTGAAGTGAATAACAAATGAACTTGAGGACAAACTGGTTAAGTAAATGAAGGAAAAAGAAATTGGAGGATACAAAGGGTTAGAGAGAGGCTAGATGAATTCACATGGATCAAATACCTGTGTGGGTCTTTTGGAACATGCCCCGTTTGTGCTGATTATATCTGGAGCCGATACTGAAAAGCCAATAAAGCCTCTGCATATATCCACTATAAAAGGATAATCGTAAGATGCCTACACAGCTTGTGAACTATTAGATATCTCAATACGATTCATGTACAGCTTGTGTCTGTCTAGGAAAGGAATATTTCAACCAGCACAATGTTAAATTTTCCCTCAACCACAGAACACCATATACAGAACAGTTCAACAGTCCCCAGTTGAAGGCAACTGCCACATGACGGAAAGTACAACTGATCTGCATGTGGAAAACTTAACATTTTAGTTAATATTGAAAATTTTAGCATATTAACAAGAACATGAGCTTAGGACAAGCTTTGCAAATCAGAGTATTTCTTCAAGATATTTAAGAAAGAGTGTCACAGAAGGTATGCATATTATAGCAAGAGCCACAGGCAATTTAAATAGAGGTACAGACGTTGTTCCTATTTAAATTCCTAAATTCAATTAACCACTCCATTTCAAAGGTCAACTGATCACTTATGTCTGCAAGTGACAGGTTATATCATATCATGGGCAACCACAGGAAACGGACACTGAAGTCTTTCTCCTCGTGACGGGTCTTTCAAAGATCGTACTGGAACAAGACCCACAGAAATAAAACATATTTCCAATTCAATAAAGAAACCTGCAGGAATTCTATAAGTATGGTCATTCAACATGCAATGCCTGTACATTTGGCTTTTAACAAATTTTTGAAAATACCTCTTCAACTACCGCTTTAAACTTGCTCTTTTTGCTCAGCACAGGTCGAACACCAGACAGCCACTGAACATTCGAGAAAACTTTAGCTGCTCCAAACAACATTTGTCCTGGATAAAATCCATAGGATTCATCGAAGAACTGCCCCTAGAACAGAAAAGCATGGCTGTAATTTAAGATATCCCCATCTGTAGCCAGATATCAAAATAAACATGGGATGTACAGCTATAAGACATTTCTTCAAAATTGTGTTTGAAATACATACATATTCAAAGATTTATCTACTTTTATTCTTTTATGAGCTCTAAGTGGCGTTACCAAGGCCAACACTTATAGCCTATCCCTTGATAAAAAGGTGATGCAAAGCTCTGTTCATGAACCACTGTAGTACACCGACAGCGCAGATGTAAAGAGTTCCAGGATTTTGACTCAGTGACACAGAAGTAACGGCAATATATTTCCAAATCAGGATGATGTGTGACTTTGAGGAATTGTTGATGGTGGTGTTCCCATGTGTCTGCAGTCTCTGTAGAAGTGGTAAAGTCATAGATTTGGAAGGTGCAGATGGAGAAAGCATAGCAAGCTGCTACAGAGCATCTTCCAGAAAATGCACTTTGCTGGAAGTAGTAAATGTTGACAGTAGTGAATGGTGCCAGTCAAGTGAACTTTGTCCTGTATGATGTTGAGTTTAAGTGTTGGCACACCACACTCGTTCATACAATTGAGAACATGCCATTCTTGTAGATGGTGGACAATTTTTGGCAAGTTTGGAGGCGAGTTACCCACTCCAGAATTGAGCCTCTGACCAGCTTGTGGCCATCCACAGTATTTATATGGCTGGTCTAGCTCCGTTTCTGGCCAATGGTAACCTCTCAGCATGTTGATAAGGGGGGATTCAGCAATAGTATAATAATTGAATATCAAGGCAAGATGATCATATTTTCAAGCTGGAGATAATCACTGCCTGGCACTGGATGTACCTTGCCACTTATCAGACTAAGCTTGGACATTCTCCACGTATGGCTGCATATGAACACAGACTGCTTCCGTTTCTAAGTTGTGATTGGCACAGAACACTGCAATAAGAGAACTTCTCCAGTTCTGACGTCACGGTAGAGGGGAGGGCATTGATGAAACTACTTAGGCCTAGAACAATGGCCCAAAGAACTAGTGTCATTATATCCTGGGACTGAGATGATCAATTTCTTAAAATAAAAAACACAACCATCATCTGTTGTGAGGTGTAACTCTAACCAGTGGACGATCCTTCCTTCTCCCAATTCATGACCGGCAGTACTACAAAACTTTGGTCTGATCTCTTGGTTATAGCTTTGATTAGTTCATCATCCACTGTGTGGTGTGCGTGCAGTCATCAGCTGACCTTCAACTCGAGTGTCATCTACTCCGAGCCGAGAGTTTCTGTCATGGGTCTTCATGTGACTGAAAAGGCCATGTCTCAAGAGGTTGCAGAATCCAGAGTACAGTATTCATTTCTTTTTCTTTCCGTCTCTCCTGCTATGCTGCCTCAAGGTGCATGGAATCGAAAAATGACGCAGCTTGATTGGCAAAGCATCACTATTTTGAACTATTTGCGCCAAGCTATTCCCAGTCATTAATGTCAATACCATCACTTTCCAAGGATAGCTTCAGTGTCTTTGTAGTACTTTTTGTTCACGCTGGAACTACGGAAAGTTAAGAAATCAAGAACTGACAGGTAAAATCCATTACTGTAATGGTACCTTTAGAGACTTGGCTACAGAATAATATGGATTGGAGCAAAGTCTTTCAGGAAATTGGGAAAATGTGGAAGGGAGCTATTAGCTAACAATGGTATTGAACAATAGAGAAGGATGGCCCAAGTTCAAAAACCCAAGGTATAGAAAGTGTTTGGATAGAAATGAGAAATGATTAATATAAACAATCACTTTTGGGGAAAGCTGTACCGGTCCTGTAACAGTAATCACACGGTTGGGTGCAGCAAAAAGGAAGAAATAATAAGAGCTTGCCACAAAGGCATAGCGATAACATGAAGTTTTAATCAACAGATCAACTACAAAAGTCAGAGATAGTAGGAACTGCAGATGCTGGAGAATCCGAGACAACAAGGTGCAGGGCTGGATGAACACAGCAGGCCAAGCAGCATCATAGGAGCAGAGAGGCTGACGTTTCGGGC